TAAAGCAGAATATAAACTCACTGTATGTTAGTGGAGGTGCATATTGGGGCAGAATCCATAGGCAGTTATAGTCCTTAATGGAACTCCTAACAGGACAAAGCAATCACTCTTGAGAGATGCAGAATGTATTTGTGTGTGTCACTGGCTAACTTCTGATTTATGGATAAGACATGTACTTCAATAGAACGTGAATCTGAGCTTTCTCAACCTGGCCTCTCCTTTCAAATCATTGCTGGGTAACACCTTCCCAGAAGTAATAGTCAAAATCACGTTGATCATCCTGCATCACTGTACTTGAAATGTCCTTTCTCTAACTTGGAATAGGAAGTAGATTTGCATATTAGAAAAATCTATTCAGTGGAATGCTTTTATATGGAAGCAACAGAAACCAAACTCAAACCAGCTGAAGCCAAAAGGATAATTTATGACCACAGGTCATTGGAAAGTTCAAGTCAAGCAGGATCCAGGAGTTCAAATGACGTCATCAGGATTGTTTGTTTCCCTCCATCTCTCAGCTGTGCTTCCTGTGTAACGGGGTCATCCCCAAACTGGCTGTGAAAGATTCCTGATGGGTGGGCTGCTGTGAGCTGGGGCAGGCCTGGAGGAAATGCTTGTCATGGTGTCCCAGCAAAAGTTAACTGGTGAAAACATCTTTATAACTGGTAAAATGGTTTAGAATTGATTTGGACACTAGGGTCTAGAGGACTCTTTGGGACCTTTTGCTTATAGTATGGTCATATGTGCTAGCTACCTCTCCACCTTGTATACATGGCTTCAACTTTTCCCTTCATTGGCACAGCTCATAGATTTCCACAGTTATGTAGTCTCTGTCTCTGTCTTCCTCTCTATATGCACGTCCCCTGCCTCCTTGATTCCCAGTCCACATGTAATTTCAAACCAGGATACTCACTGGTTCTGTTAGTGTGACCCCTAACCCTGTCTAATCACGGTGTCCCATGAAGTGCAATATTCTGATGGACCAAGGATACACCTGCCCGAAGGACATCAAGCCTATTTTGGACAGGCCCATGACTTACATGGACAATGGTGTGAGGGAAGACGTCCCCTAAAGAAAGTGTGCTATCATACACAAAGAAGAAACAGACTCCATCTCCACTCTGGAACCACTGTGCAGATGGCGATTTGTTGTTATGCTGTTTTTCCTGAATCTAGTTTTCTAACTCAGCTGAGAGTTACAACACTCTTAAAAACCAATTGAACTAAGTTAAATCTGGAAATCCTCACTAGAAACTGAGGAAAGAAAGATGTCTTCCTTCTTCATGTCATGGTGTTGGATCCCTCCTCACCAAAAATGTGTTGCTCAAACCTGTACCCATTGTCCAACGTATGAACATGGCACTAGGCCCTAAAATAGTGAAGCTGGTGGTCACTGTAAGAAATGATAGGAGGAATAATTATCTTTCTCTGGAAGTTGACTGAGGTAGATGTGCCATTCCCGATACAAACCTGACGCAATATAGATGTCTTGATCACCTGTTGAGAGTCAGGCATTACGGGGACATACTGATGAAGTGAAAAACAAAATTCTGCCTTCTTCTGCCTTCATAAAACTCACAGATTTTAGGGAATGACAGGTAAATAGCTAACTACAATGACAGGATAGGATTGATGCTGTGAATGGTGTAAGAGAGTATTAAGGGAGCAAAGAGGAAAGAAGGGTGATTAATTTTGCTGGGAATGGACTGAATAAGCAGTAATCAGGAAGTAGCAATGGAAGAGTTGTCAGTATAAGTTTCCCAGGGTGGGGGTGACATCTGATCTGAAGGAGAGGGAGTATGATAACTCAGGGGGAGAGTAGTATTTCAGGCAGAGAAAACAGTAACAGAAGGGAGAGGAAAATCAATCCAATACTCTTTAATAGTCACTGGCCAACTTTCCAAGGCCAGTATAAGAGGGAGGATTAAAGCAATTATTGAGAAAATTGTCTCAATCTTTTCTTTTCTCCTGGCTGTGGAAATTTGGCCATTGCTGTACTTTTATAAGAGAAAGAGCCTTGATTCCAGGGACCACACAGTGTTACATGATGGAAAAATTATTTTTTTAGACAGAATAGAGCAGAATCAGAGCACTTGAATTCAACTGGGAAAAACTAGATGTTGTAAAAAATATGGAAACCTTTCTTCTTTCTCCCCTATCTCTCACTCAACCCACTGTTCCCTTTTCTTTTTTGGCAGGGATATGTTACAAGGAGGGGAGAGTCTCATTTTAAAAGTAAATCCACTGAGTAAGAAAGCTGAGTGCACACAGATGAATCTGTTTCCTTGTGAGAGCTTATAAATACTTGTAGTAAGATAAAGGTGACTATTAAAATAATTTTTAAAGATTTACTAATGTCAAAATCAAAATAAAGTGTCGCTCAGGAACTGATTCCTATGTCAGCTTCTCCATTACCCTATCTCCCCAAATGTCAGGGTAACTAGTTAGCATTCAAAGCTACCTTTGAGGACCAAATAGCATTAAGTTTTTGTCTTGCAAGGAAAGGAATTACGAATTTATGTGAAAACAGGACTTGGGTATAAATGTGTGTAGAAATATGAAGAGGGGGAATTCTGGCTAAAAGTCCAGAAAAAGCCCTGCAAATGAATAGAAACTGAAAAGACCTCTGTTTGAGTTTTAGCACCATCATTTATGAATTAACCTTAGTTTTAGAATTGGCTCATGACAATATCTGTAGCATAGAATTGCTTTGAGGATTAAAAGGAATAATCTACACAAACATCCTCAACACAAGGCCTAGCACGTGGTATTATCTTGAAATCAGCAGAGCAATGAAAGTATGGAAAATTTTCCCAGCCTTGGCACTAACCACAAAGCAGACATTATATCAAGATTGTAATTTGGTACCATCTGCCTCATCTGTTTGTCCCTTCATCAAAGTGTTACTATTAACATGATTTGGGGGCTGTTATTATGACATTGATCCATATGTTGGTTACCACCAAAGGGCTTAGGGATGACCTTTAGTGTTTTTGACCCTCCTGTTATTTGCCAACAGGAAAAAGAAGGACATTAAATTCCCTTCTCTGAAAACCTTGGCCTTTTGGCATCACAAGAGTTTGATTGTAAAGAGAAGTAGAGGAAGTCTTCATACGATGTTAACACTGAACCCAAAAGACCAAGACACAAGTCTTTCCTGTACCCTGGGGCAGAACAATTTATAGGCATTAAGTCTCAGAATGTGCTAATGTTCATCATTTGCCTTGAGCTGCATATTCACTTTATAAGACAGAAAGAAGTGTAAGTTTCTTACTAAAGTGTAGGAATGGCGAACAGTGGAGTTGTCTATAGTTCAAAAATGAATGTTCCCTTTATGTTACACTTCAGAAGTATACATAACTCAATATTGTGTGTCTTTAAAATATATTTGCCTATTGGGCTTTTGACTTTGGAGTTGATTTCTTACAAAGAAGCTAAAATATTCTTCAAAGGGACAATTTATGTGAAAACAGAAGTCATGATAGAATCTCTGGTCGGTAGCATAGTAAATAGATTTTTTTTTAACCTTATTTTTATAGCTATCTCAAATGATTACTAATTTATCTCATTTAATATATATGAAATAAAGTATGGCTATACAGGATTAGAGATATAAAATTGAAAAGAAACACTTGGGGGGGGTGCTTAAGGTTGTACACCTATGAAAAATATTCTGTGACTTTGCTGATATATCTGCCATTTAAATTCACTTTTAGGCAAATATGTAGACCAAAGGGATATGTTGGATGTGATTTATTGAAACATTTGAGCAATTACAGAATATAGGTTCTTGTGGTCATCTACCAATCTGAATGATGATTAAGTACAAAAGAGAGATATAGTTTAGAGAAAAATAATATGAAGTTAGGAGGCAAGAATGAACTCTACCATGACTTCCATTTATAATGAAATTTGAGAAAGACTTTTTTTTTTTTGTTTGTTTGTTTTCCAGTACCGGGAATCAAACTCATGACCTTGCACTTGCCAGGCAGGCGCTGTGCCGCTGAGCTAAATCCCCAGCCCCTATTGAGAAAAACTTAACTGGAAACTCATAGTAGATTTGCTACATTTTGCAAGATCAAATAGACATGACTATGCTCAATGGGTGAAAACATGATTTCATTCATAATTAAGTAATACTTTCTTAGGTCAGTTTTTCACATGATCTTATTATGGTCTCTGGTTCCCATTTCCCTTAAAAAGTGTAAATTTGAGGGATTTTCTTTAATGGACAAATAAGCTATACAGTTTAAGGCTTCTCATTTCAGAAGCAGTTAATCAAAATAGAGGCTTTTCAGCCTACAGCCAGGTTTGTTGCTTTGTAAATGAGGACCCCAGTTTTCTGGTCTGTAAAAGGTCAATGTGTACATATTCATTATCCCTCTGGTGACCAGCAGATTGCTGCAATGCTAGCCCAGATCAAGATCGCAACTGTTGGACTTCCTGGCCCAGTGCTCTGTGATCAAAGCCTTCATACCTGCCTGAACAGAAATCCATACCAGGGGTGAACCTCAAATCATATTTTGGAGAACGCTATTAACCTTTACATATTGGAATACACTTCATAAGTAAGAAAGGATCGGTGGTTAAATAAATTGGAAATGTTGTACTAAACAAAATGAATGAGGTTTCATCATGTCAAGGCTTCTTGGAATCTTTAATAAACAAATGCACATTGTGAATCTTCTAGAAACTTTAAGAATGCAGTTGTCTGTTTTACATTTTATGTGGAATGATTATTTTTGCTTTTTAAAGAAAACGTGAAAATCTTGAGAAAAACAAGGAGTTTCTGAAGATACAGATTGAAAAATATTTCTTCCTATAATTTTTTCTCAAGTTCAGGTCTTTTAGGCTGCAACATTTTAAATAATAGGTTGATAAACACTTGATAAACTGGGGAGAGGTTTCTTAGAATTCTAAGTCCTCCATTGGAACTCAGAGCTCTTTGTTGGTAATGAGTTAACTATGGCTTGTTAGTGATTGTGAAAAGAACATCTTCCAAGTTCTAGAGATTGCTGCAGAACGTAGAACAAGATGCAACATAAAAACTAGATGTAAGTGTGAGCTTTGTGGAGCCCCTTTGCATAGTTTAGAGAGGGTAAAAATTTCTTTTTTATGGAGTAAAACAAAATTGTTAACTGCGGAGCAGAAGTCAGGTCAGACAGATATACTGCTCTTGAGAATGTGCTGATTACGATTTGTATTTTATGGTAGCTGAAGAGTTGGAGTTGCCTGCTAATGAGATCAAGTACCATTACATATATTATCAACATCCTTAGAAACTGCAGATTCATTCTGAAACTTTATGCTACATTTGTTCAAAGCACTGTCTTTTTGTTAAATGAATTCACCTGCACATTATATTTTCTCTGCACTATATTACTGGTAGTCTGAAGAAATGTTTCTATGTATCTTTTTGTCTGAATTTGGAAACTATGTGTTTTCGTGGGACTTCACTTCTTTTAAAAAGCAGTTGTTGACAAGTAAGACCTTCAAAATTATTGAAGTACCCTGTTGGTTTCCTAATCTGTTGCCTGTAAGATAATGCTTCAAAAAAGTGCAGTCTCTCTAAATATTTTGTCACTCTTACATTGTTTGAAAGATAAGTGGTCCTACTGTGAAATTTTTTTGCTAGAATTCAATTTTGAACATTACGTTCTATATACAAGAAAAAGTAGGTGGCAGGTATTTCTCTTTTTGAAGGAAGTTTTTCTAATCTAAGAGTCAAGTTTTAAGTAAAAATGAGATAAAGGACATAGATCTTCAAGTTAAAAAGAAAATTGGAATATGTATATATAAAGACTTTGGACATTACTTAAAAGTACTGATTTAATTTCTTTTGGATATATATCCAGAAGTAGGCCTGTTGAATCATGTCATAGTTCTACTTTTACTTTTTTTTTTGTTTTGTTTTGTTTTCTGGTAGCGGGAATCGAACTGATGACCTTGCACTTGCCAGGCAGGTGCTGTGCCACTGAGCTAAATCCCCAGCCCCCTCTATATTTACTTTTGTGAGGAACTTTAATTCTGTTTTCCCTAATGGTTATACCAATTTATGTAATATATTCCTTGCAGCATTATTCACAGTAGTCAAAATATGGAAACAACCTAAGTCTGATTCTACACATGAATGGATAAAGAAAATGTGGAATATTTATTCAGTGGAATATTATTTAGCCTTTAAAAAAAAGAAATCTTACCATTTGTGTTAGTATGGATAAACCTGGAAGGCATTATGATAAGTGAAATGAGCCTGACTCAAAGAAACAAATATTGTGCGATCTCACTTACATGTGGAGTCTGAAAAGTCAAATTCATAGAAGTTGAGAATAGGATGGTGATTGTCAGCAACTAGGGCTTGGGTATACGGGAGATGCTGGGGAAAGAGTGCAAATTTTCAGTTATATAGGATGCATCAGTTCTGGAGCTCTAATGCACAGTACTGTGACCATAGTCAATAACACTGTATTTTGTGCTTGATATTTGCCAAGAAGGTAGGTCTTAAGATTTCTTACCATGAAAGAGAGAGAGAGAGTAAAAAGGGTAACTACTGGAAGCAATGGATACATTAATTAGCTTGAACACGGTAATGATTTCACCACGTGTACATATATCAAATGTGTGCATATAACAAATCATTATGCTAGTCACCTCAAATATATACAATTTTATTTTGTCAAATTTTTAATAAAGCTGGGGGCAGGGGATACGGATGTACAGGATTCAGGTTCAGATTTGTGTGGAAACCCTGTGGAAATCAAGTTGCTCTCCATATTTATGGAATGAAGGAGAGAAATATCAATAATCTATAAAATATAAGATTTTCCACTAGACATTTAGTATGAAAAGAGAAGGGAAAAAGGAAAAACAGAGACTAGTGAGTAGCCGTATAATTTTTTTTCACATTTTCAAGCATGCGGAAATAATATTTGGAATCATACTTTCTCTAGTCCTTGGTTACAGTTCCACATGTAGGTTAGCAATGGCTATTACTTGGGGGAGACTTTGGGTAAAGACTTTGAGTACATCTGATTCAATTCTCCCACTGGAATTTTGTATGTTTTTGTATGCCTAGAATTTTTATGTCTATTTTTTGCCACTTCTCATTTGAAAGGCTTTCACTTGCTATGCCTATAAGCAATGGTATTAAGGCTCAATACCAGTAAAGTTTTAGAGGAAAGAGTAAGAAAATTATTTAAAAGGACTACTTTTTGATAATGGCAGTGTTTTGACAGTTTTTGACAGGCAATTTGGAATAATGCAACCTCCTGGATCACAGCCAACTTCTGAAATGGTCTGTAATTTAGAATGATGGCAGCTTCTATGACCTCTGTATTGGAGAGTCACTGGAATTAAAAGAAAAAAATATTCTCCGAATACATCTATATTTGAAAACCTGGCTTAAGTGTTCTGATATGTAGCCATTTTACTTAATGAAAGGATTTTCTTGTCCTTTGCACAGTTCCAAATACTTAGAGCTGGGGAAGATTTTCTGCCTTTTTGTGTGTGGCAAAACTTCTCCAATTCCACTCCTAACCAGACTGTGGACATCTGAAAGAGCTGATTATTGGTATGGCTGTCCTTTCTGTCCTTTGGATAAAATTAGGTCCACTAGGGTATGGGAAACTATACCATGTTGTCATCCCTGGAAGGATGGAAGCTCTGAGCTGGTATAGGCTCCAAAAATTTCTCTCTTCACACAAATGTGCTGTTTCAGGTTCTGAGTTGGTCCTTCAGGCTCCTTTGAAAAATAGATTCGATTACTCCCTTAATTCTGAGAGTTAAATGCTTTTTAAAGAGCTATGTAACTTAAATATGAGCTGGGTGAGCACTGTAGGATTTTTAACTGAGCCTCAATTCTCCAAACGTACCAATATATTCCAAAATTGCCAGTTGCAGGCCATAAAATATTTACATTACAGAGTTAATAATGTATGTTTAGTAAGAAATGATGAAATATTTACAGTTTTTCTAAAGATATTGTATGGATTTTTTCCTCTACCACAGCCTTTTCTCTTGAAGTAGGCAAAATAGGCAAGAGCAATATGGAAGTATCTCTGAAGAAAAACAATGTTCTGAAACGATCAGTAGATAAGCTTCCATAAAGAAAAGAAACATCAGCTCGTGGCAGATGTCAAGATACCTACTTCATATGGTTGAGGGTCAAAGGAGGCATTAGCAAACGATTCTGGTACCTTTAGCATTAAATTGCCAGACTCAGTTATTGGTTTGTCGCAGCTACTCTTGGGAGTGTTATGACTTTCAAAGCATGGCATGGTCTTCCAAGCTTCCGCAACAGATACATTTTAAAAATCTCCCACACCCTCATTGATCTTGAACATGTGTGCATTTAGGAAAGAGACCAAAAAAGCTCTTAACTTAGATTTCCAACAGAATTACCTGAGTTTTACAAATGGATTCTCAGGCCCTCACCCTAATAAATTCTGATAGGAAAAATTAGTACAGAGACTGGCAATCATTTTTGAAAGGATTTCCAGGAGATGATTATCCTGGTTTGGGATATCCTGTGATAGACTGAACAATGGCTCTCCAGAATATCCATCCCCTAATCCCTAGAGCCTGTGAGTGGCAAAATACTTTATATGGCAAAAGGGAGTTTGCAGATATGATTAAATTAAGAATTCTGGGATGGAGATACTACTCTAGATTAACTGAGTGGGGCCTAGATACAACCAAATGTCCCTAAAAGAGGGAGGCAGAGAGACACTTGAAATAGATGGGAAAGCAATGTAATGATGAGAGCTAGAGGCTAGGCTGTTGGCTCTAGTAAGAGAGCCAATGACTATACGTGGACTCTACAAACCAGAAAAGCCAAGGAAAGAGATTCTGCCTTGGAGTCTCTAGAAAGAACCCACTTGATTTTGAACTTCTGACTTTTAGAATTGGAAGAGAATAAATGTTCTTCTTTTAAGCCACAAAGTACATGGTAGTTTGTGACAGCAGCAAGAGGAACTCATACATGAACTATTTTAATATCCCTTTCTTCCTAAACACGACTCTTTAGCCTACACATTTAAGGCCCAAGGATTTAACCTGTTCCCAAGTGTGGAGGGATACCAAGGCAGCTTTGCTTCTAGAATATATTGTTAGCCCCTCTACCCATCTGCACTGGACATCTCTCCCATAGTCCCATTCCCTGAGGACTCCATAACAGCTAGAAAAGGCAAAGCAGCAGTGAGGGTTTATGCCCAATGACTGTACCCCTCAAGTGCGAACATCAAGCCACAAGAATTTATCATACTTCTGTGTGTGCAGCATTCTGCCACTACTATGGGGAATTCAGTGAATCAGGAGAGGTCATTCTCCACTCTCCTGCTGAGTACAGACATTGCACAGTGATTACAAACACTTAGGTTGCATTTCCAGGAATGTCAAAGCTGAGGCTCCTCTGGCTACAGAAGATATTATCTCATTTGGGGACAAGACAAATGCATCATAGCAGTTTAAGGGAAGAAAATGATGTCAAAGCGTAGACTTATCAGTTATACTCTGATTAGAAGTCCTGGAAATCACATCATTTTCCCATTGTTTTAGGCTCTTGGGAAGCTGAGGCATGTTTAAGAGTGGATGTATTCCAAGATGGGTGAGGGTGTATGGGGGAATCTATTATATCAGTACTGGTTCCTATCAGAACACCTCATAGTGAGAAGATGAAAGAGGGGGAAAAAGATGGCAGCTGCATAGAGCAGGATAGCATCTTGTTTCTATGGCAACAGTGTGCGCTCTGCTCCCAAGCTCCATCTGGTATTTTCAGGCCTAACAGCCAGGTAGCATGTAAATGCTTGATGGAAGAAAGGCATCAATAGTGATTCTCTGGATCAGGCACAAGTGAACACAGCAACACCATGCCCTTTCTAAGAAAAACAGTGACTGCTTTACTTCACCAGCAACAGAGCATCACGAAGACAGACCACAGAGTACATAAAACATGTTTAGCTCTATTTTCTGGATTAAACAAGCACAACATGCATACAAAATTAAGTAGCTGTGGGGACAGAGATGGGGAGCTTTTACCTAAAACAAATTTAATAGT